TCAGATTCAAAGCGAAATATGAAGTACCCATCATCATGCAAAAAACCCTAGAGGTTGAGACGAAATGCCAAACCCCATAAACAAATTGAAGCATCTCATTGAACGTTGGATCACCTCCTATAACATACCCAACAAGTGCACAATTCCACTTTTGCTTTTGACATTCTATCTCATGGTAATTTAATGCACTATTTTAACTCCATCTTTGAGAACAAGTGGGTAAAATTTGAGTTTTATACCTTGGTTATGCATCTTGTTATTTTTGACAGCTTCTGCCATTGTTGGTCTTGGCTGGTTCACTCTCTCGAAGTTCAATTTCCGAGCGAGCTGTGAATCTTCCTCCTCCTTATGCACAGGTTGCTTGTCTTCCATTTGTGACTATTTTGAGCTCGACTCTCCCGGAATTCGGCTGGCCAATTGGATTGGGATTAGGCCTTGGGACTCCCCTGTTTCAGTAATGATTTTCCTACTTTTCTCGTCGCCATTATCGCTGCTTGTGCTCAATTGCAGTGTCGTCTCGTTTGGGTTGGCTTTAGGGTTTTTTTGGGTTTTATCGATCGGACGATTTTGTGCATCCATATCTTCCTTCACAGATTTGGGACTGATAATGGTAGGAGCTGTTAGCGACTCTGGTTTGGTATGCGTAGAAGTAGAAGCTTGAGGAGCCTTCCGTTTCCGGCGAGGCATGGTGGTGGTGGCGTGCACGTTAGCAAGACGGGTCTAACGTGCACTTTGGGACTTTCTCTCACCTCTCTCTCCCAAATCTTCTAATTTCAATCTCAATTAAACCATCAACACGTTGTCGTTTTAAAATTTCAAAATATATCATACAAAACTAGAGAGAATGTATAATTAAAATTATTAGTAATAATTAAAGGGTTTTAAAAAGATATAAAATTTCGCACCCAGTGTTTACACCAAACAATATAGATGAGATGTATCTGGCACATGAACTTTAAGTTTTTAACCATAGTTAATTGTATATATTCTCACCTTATTAAATTATTTAATTATACTAATCAATAATATAATTTGATTTAGATCAACTGCTCGTCGACACTCGATTACATCTCCCATCCTTTTATAACTAACACTCTGTTTGGATCATTGTTCCCCATCGTTATATAATGTACTGTATTGTATTGTATCGTATTGTTTTATGAATACAATATTTGGATAGATTGTATTATTTGTTATTGTTAAATAATATTTTGCTGTTTGGTTTGACTGTATCGTACTGTATTGTAATTGATAAGTTTACTAAAATACCCTCAATTATTTAATATTAAATTTATCAAAAATTATGCATAAAAATGGTTTAAAACACAAGAAGGCAACACCCCTTAAGAAAGCAGAACAAAGTAGCGGGACAGAAGAAGGCAAAACAAAGGAGCACATCTAGTTACAATTGAGTTAAAAGCAAATTAGAAGAAAAAAAAAACAGGAGGCGGCAAAACACCTTTTGGCGGCAGAAGTCTTGGAAAAAATTAAAGTAGGTGATAGGTTGGAGATTTGGAGTTAAAATAGAAAAAAAGGTAAAGGATAAAATAGAATTGTGAAGTAATAAGTTAGGACATAATTGGAAAGAAAAATATGAAACAATCCCACTATATCAATCGGTTGTTTCAAAAAAGGGACTTTTTATTGTTCCAGAATAATGAATTTAACAATACAATAGAATCAATTTTAATGAAACAATCAAAATAAAATATTATTTTAGGATAACAATCTCTATATATATAAAAGTGGGCAATAGAAAAGTGAGGTGGCACCTCTCTTTGGCCAGCATTGGTATTTATCTTTTTTGTCAATTTTTTGGCCTTTTTCTCTTATATTTCCCTCAAAATATTTGCTGCAAAACTAAAACACTCTATTAAAAAGTCAATAACTGTCTACATTGATTGCTCAATAGGCATTTAAGAAAATGAAGACTATCAGTTTTCAAATTCATTATCATAATTTCTATTAGTATTAATATTCTTAAGTTTTTATGCCTTTTACATTCATAACCTTCAAAAATTTAATGTGTAAGTTAATGACATGATTGTATTCCTCTATCTATGCTTATATGTATCACAATTCACAAGCCTAAAAGCCAAACAACTAATCCATGAGATTATCATATTAGCAGCATCTTTCATGTTATTATTTTGTTTGCAAAGCTGTAAAGTTAGGCAATAGTGTGGAGCCAACTGGTAAATACGTGAAGACACTCTTGTGGATTCTTTTGGATGTAGACTGACTTTCTTTTTGTTCTTATTTGCTAGATTTTGCATTTTCTTCTACATGCGTGGCCTTCTCAGAACTTTTATCAACGGGTATTTATACGATGTTACTTTGGATTTTTATTGCTATTGATTCAATTTTTTTTCCTGTTTTTTACATATAATTCAATCATGCATATATGATAGTAGAGATTTTTCATGATTCAAAAAAATGACAAGTCTGAATTCCACCATCAATATATTTCACGGATTGAGATTTTAATTACCATTTTTTCCAGGATTCGAATTGAACATCTTATTCTTAGCTAACTACTACTGCAACTATTTTAAATATAGAAATATCTCAAGAGTCTGATTCTCGATAAGTGATGAAAATGAAATTTTTGCTCAAACAGTTAATTTTCGTAAAAAAATGGATAAATAATATTATTTGTTTTCAAAGACTTTCCGAATGAACATTTAATTTAAGCTCATCTACCATGGGTGAGTTAATCATTTAAATTGAAGCGAACAAGAAAAATAAAAAAATGAACATTTAATTATCAGAATGTTTTTTGAGACACCAAACTTGCCTGGAACTCTAACATGTTGATATAGAAAAAGGATTGTTTATGCTAAGACAAATTACTTTTTAGCATACCTTATTATGTCAAGAGAAGTTATTTTCATGTTGCTTTTGTTAAAATTTTACTTGGTAATTAGTAAAAGTTTCTACTAACCCAAAAAAAAAAAAAAAGATTACAGTCTTGGCATTGACTATTGATTCTAATGTATTTTGTTTTCTCATAATGCATAATAACGAATTAGTGAAAATGTCAGTGACATGTTTTACTGGACCAGGATTAGCTATATTATACAAGAAGGTGCCTAAAGGACTAGAAAATACAAAAATATTATAAACGTACATAAAAACTAAAAGTTGTGCTACCTTTTATAATACTAAAGTTTGGTTGAGTTATACATATAAAGTAGGGGATGAAAAAACTAGCGTGACACATCTCTTTGGCTTTCATTCACATTCATCTTTTTTTCTGGTTTTTTCGTCTTTCACTTTATTTTAGTATAACTATTTATTTACTCAATATGAATTATATCTTCTTGATAACTCCAATAATTTCTATCATAAATGAAATAAGGGGGAGGAAAGAGATCTTTTGATACGTTACTTATTTTTGCAATTACTCAATATTTACGACCTCTTTAGTACTATCACAATTATAACTTTTAAGACCATGACCTTTATTTTAGTAAAAATAAATATGGCACCCAAGAGTCGGTCCCTTCAAATAGTCATTCTGTTCTCAACAATGTTTTTCATTCCTTTTGGCATCAGATCATTCCCTTTGGAATCTTTTTTTTTTCTTGCTCATTATTTTTTTGTAATATGTTGACTTAGAAGATTATTACTTTGGATGTAACACTATTTACCCTACTTTTGTTTTTCGAAGATGTATTAATTTCCTTATAATAATTGTTTTCAAATGTTGTTTTGTTCTCTTTAAATTTTAATTTGGTGGATGTAATTCTTTTACTCTGTTTTGTTTTAAATTTTATTGATTCAATAATATGTTGTTTGTAGCAGATTATTATGGTTTTCAATTAATGTTGCTTTCTTCTTCTTTGTTTCGTTCTATTTGGACATGAAAGTGGAACTTCTATTTGATTTTTGATGATTATGAGTTTATGAAGTGAAAGCAAGTTTGTCAAGCTATTATAATCTTTAATGCAAATTGCCTTATGTTTCTTTTTGATATAATTTATTCATCTTATTTTCTCCATTTTGGAATACATAAATATTAGTTAAAATACTTTGACGCCTTTCATGTATTTTACTAAAATGTGTAAAAATATATGTTTATTTGTTGTTAAGATTAAGAACTACATATCAATAATAGTATGTATAAATATTGTTTTAAGATATATAAATTTACCAGAAAATACTTAAATTAGTGAAGTTTAGTTCCATCGGGTTAGATGAGTTTGGGGATTGTTTCCTACTCAGTATTTAGACGGTTTGGTGCTCTTCTTTTTTTTAGAATGGTAACAATTGCTATTTTTTACTCCTATTTACAAGATTGTTATATAGTAATATTTTAGGCGTATACCGATATATAATTTTTCTTTGGTATGTAATAACGATAACTATTATACTCTCTTTTACCATTTCTTTAGAAAAGATTTTCTTAAACTAAATTCATTTTGCTCTCAACTAATGATTAAAGAAAAAGGGAAAAACTTTGTCTACGACTCCTATTAAAATGTTTGCAATAGGAGCTGCATTGTAGATAAAGTAAATGTCATTATGTCAATCGCTATATAAATCAATAGTATATAATCTTTAAACTTTGCCTTATGAGACATTGCAAAGAGAGTAGGATTTGGGAGCACATATTATGAGTAGAAAACTAATTATAGATTATATTAGTTCAATGCTACCGAAGTAATAGTTGTTTTCTTAAGAAAACGAAATAAAAAGACGCTTAAATTTCGTTCTGAAATAGGGAAATTCTCTTCAAAATTTTAAAATGGGGAAGTAAATGTAATATACAAAGAAGTTTTTTTTCTACCGTATAACTTGATGTACTTGGAGCATTAATATCAATTAGACATTTGGCCTAAATAAGTGAAGTTGTAAAAGTTCATCTGGATAGGTTTTATAAAATGATTATCATCGATAGGCTATCCCACAAAGATATGTATTTTGTTAGAACTTTAGATTCATATACCTTAATCAAATCATTATTTCCGCTCTCAATCGAAGAATTAAGTTGCTAAAACAGAGTCCCCTGAAATGGACTGAGCACCAAAGGAAGGACCTACATTGGGCTGGTTTAGCAGAAGAGCCAGAAACATGTTTAATGAAGTATTTGGTGATGTATTGAGATCAATAGACTGTGATGAATTAAGGCGAAGAGAAGTCGGGAGAAAAAAAAATGAAATAGAGGATGCATTAACTTTCTCTTTGTTTTCCTTAATCAAGTTCATATACTGATTTAAATAGTTATTTCATTTAATTTGAGATGTCTATCACATACATTTTCTTAAAAAGTTCATGTTGGATATTATAAGAATAGGAAAAAGGATAGTAGTAAGAATTAATATTTAATTTTTTTCATTTTCGATTTTTTCATGACTGCGCGAAGCGGGCAAGTACACTAGTACAGTACCATACAACAGGAAGAACCATCCAAACAAGCTCCAAACCGATATTCGCAAGCTGAGTGTTTGCTTCTAGGGCTTATAATATAAAAAGAGATCAGGAAGCTTCTTTCTCAAAATTCCAATTTTCCTCCATTTTGCACTATCAACAATGGCGCCTCTTCCAGCACCTTACGCCGGAACTAGCACTCTTGCTCTGGTAAATCATCTAAATGTTAACTGCACATCTGAATAAACTTGTCGTTTCTTTTTTTTTTTTTAATTTTGAAATATTTTGGTTGTTGGTGGTTTTGATCTGCGGCAGGTGGCGCGTGCATCGGCGTTCACGTTTGGACTTGCTTACGGTAATATTAAGCTCAAGTATCTCAGGGTATTTTCCTCCCCTTTGAATTATTTTTAGTTTTATTTTGGATAAATACTTAGCGTATTGAAATGAAATTGGACTGAATAAAGCGGAATTGGCATAGAAGATTTATGTAAGCATGACTTCAACAATTGAATTTTAGATCCGTTTTGTTCTTCCGATGTGTTACTTCAAGGTCCTTAAATTGCGTGATTGTTACAACTGGCTGTGAATTGAAGTACCAGACTTTTAGGGTTTCATACTATAAAATTGGCTCTGGAATAATGCAGAATACATAGAAAAGATTCCCATGGCCAACCTAGATAGTTTGGGATTGAGGTGAAGTTGGTTGATTGATCGACTTTTAAAAGTGTCAACCTGGCTTTTAAGAGTTACATATAAAATGAAATGGGCTTATGAACAGCACGGAACATATATATAAGATTAATTTGGCCAACTCAACCAGTCTGGAATTGAGGCATAGTTGGTTAATTGAGGATTTTGAAAGTTTCAACCTGGACTGTTTTAGTCTTTTTCTTTTCTTGGATATTGTATTATGTTTTATATGTCCAGAGATGATAACAAGCTCTATTTGCGAAGGTATTCTTAACGTGATTTGCATTTTAAATGTAATCTGATGAAAGAATGCCCAAGAAGATGAGTGGACCGATTCCTAGATATTATTGTGAATGAGGTGAATAAAAGGCAAGATAAACTTTCTATTTTTCTAATGTAAAATTATATATGAGAAGGGAGCAACTGAATGTTTCCCTAGGACCTGAGTTGCTTTGGATGGAATAAGTATGTATTCAAGGACCTAGTGGAGAACTAGGGATTCTCTGTCTGAGTTCAAGACGAATTTAATGAGGATGTAGCCTGAAAATCGAGCCACTGTAACCTTTTTCTGTATGCTAAGTGGATTCCTTAATGAAAACACTAATCATTTCTTGGTGACTGGTGATATTAAAGTTATGGTTTGAGTTATTTCCAGTTACGATAATCGAATCTGGAGAAGAGTTACTGTGAAGTTAAATGGTGTAGAAGGCCTGAACTATGTTATGCGAACTCCAGTGCAGGTATTGCATCCTGCTAAGATATTGTGCTTGTTAGATTTTGAAATCTTTGACCGGGAATATGGATAACTATTTGCAGGTCGAAGGTTAATCACTGATGTACTAAATCTGCTGAATTAAGTTTTACTCTAATTGGCTAGTGCGATGAAACTGATCTTCAATCAACCACTGACAACATAGTTCGGATAAAGTTTGGCTCACCATACATAATAACCCTATTTATCCTTGACTCTTGCCCAATAAACAGAACCTGTAAAACTAATCGTGTTTACGGGTTTCTGATTTTGCAATAAGCGCTGGTTCAGCAATGTGTTTTCATATTTCTCTACTCCTCCGGCCTCTCCCTCCACCTCAAAATCTCTTTCCTCAGCTGCTGCAGTATGCTAGCCTTTCGACTTTGGCTCTGTTGAGAAGCGTTTTAGCCAAAATGATCCTCCAACTATCCCATCAAGTGTTACGTACTTGATCAATACAAGTATCCCATGTAATTCTTTGATTTACGAGGCTCATGTCAAAAATTGTCAGCATATAAATAGGTTCAGCAACTAGGGAAACACATCTCGCGTTAATGCTAAATGTAAATGCTGTAGTATTTAAGGAAAAAAAAACTTTAATTGGAAATGACTTCTTTCCCCAATCTTGTTTGAAGCTTCAGAACTCAGACTTTCAGAGACAAGATTTATGAAGCAGTCATCTGCACTTCCAATAGAATCATTCCATTTCCTGAATAGTATCCTCTTGTCTCTTCTCTTTCTGTATTTTAACAAGGCACGTCTCTCTACCCCTTTTTCTTAATTAAGGAAACATTTGGCATTGTCCAACTAAGCTAAAGCAGAGTTTCAATTATGCAATCCGAGATTCCAGCATCCTATATTTGTAATTGCAAATGAGGAAATTGGTAGGCTAGAATTTTCTCTGCTGCTATTGATTAACTTATAGGAAGGTAAGCTTGATGATATTAGTATATGACCTGGACTCCC